GCCTGTCACTCACAGCGTTTTTACAATTTCATGATTTTTGTTTGATTTTTCGAGTCCGACTATAAACCGACATCCTCGACACCGGAATGCCAACACGGGATAAAAGGCAATGTGGTGTTCTTATGGCTGACCTTTTCTAATGCTCCCTTCCTAAAAGGAAGATAGCATCAGCGTGTTACTGCTGGTCATCCGTGAGAAATACTGCCTCACACCCTGCCCAGTTATTATGGTTACTGCTTTTTGTCTTAGCATTGTTCAACTGATGTTTGTGGTATGGTAAGACCTCAAGGAAGCAAGCGTTCCATTAGTGTAGTTCTTTGAGTCGTGACATATGAGCCTGACCATCACGTCAAGGTAGCAGCTATTAATTGACCTGAGCTTGATTTCCTGCGATATCAACTAAAGTCTGAGATCGCCGATTTCAGTCGTCATATGGACGCTAACTGGGAATTCTACATTTCTGTACATAGCTCAGACCAGTAGTCAAAGAATTCATGCACTGATGCTACATTTTAATCTGGTTGCTTTTGGCATTTTCCGGGTAAGCCTACATTAGCTAACATCACATGATGAAGTAAATAGTGGCTGAACACGCATAATACATTTCTCATCCATTTAAGTCGATGAAGGTTCATAACCTCATCAACTGGGATACCTCTACTACTTAAAACGCTACTTATTACTTCAACTTTACTGACGTGGTTCACTTTTGTAATTTCGAAAGTGTCATACAATCCACCACCATTTATAGAATACTCTCGTTTAAATTTTGCGTTTACACAAGTTGGTTATCAATTTTAGGTACAGACTATAAATACACGTCCGTCGTTTTGCTCGGCACGACTTGTATTTTGCTTACTTGAAATCGATGAGTAATAGAAGATGTTCGCATCTTAAAATGGCTAGCCCATCTAGGAATATATACTTTATACTTGCCTCACGGTAGAGTATTGATTCAAAATCTATCCCAGGTTCTGCTCAGCAAAGCTTTCAGTTGAGTTTTTATACTGCGTTATATCCAAAACACCAAGCAATGGTATTAGTAGTCCCTAGGCTTGGAGATATTACCACTCATATTTTGATCATATCACTTACAAGGACTTTAATCACATTACAGACAACTGGATGCTCTATTTTTGTTGGGACCTTAAATCAAGCGTAGTGATTTTCCTCTTAATCAATTCGTTATACCACATTATATCCGTTATTGGAAGTGTTTAGTTCCCTCCTATTGTAACTTTAATGATACAACTTGTAAATGCGAAAATGTGTTTAGTTTTAGCTGGTTTTTAATGATATGCATGATGAATGAACTTGATACACATGATTTATTCAACGATAAGGATACAGGAAAATGTCAATTCGAACTTCAATGTTAATTTGGACCTTTTTGGTATGGGTAATACGTCCCTGCTCGAATACAGCAGGCGCATTTGCACTCACATATTCAACTATCTATCAAAGTAAGAGGATACTGAACTGCAGTCCGTTCTGTCCTGTTACATGGCTGCGAAAAGTAGAAGACATGAAAAGACTACAGGTTTTTGACCTTAGGTGTCTTCGTAGCATTGCTCGCGTATGGTGAAATCATCATGTGTGCGATGCTGAGGTCAGGCGATGGATACTAGACACGGAAGGCAAATCAGTCGATGATCTTGTGAAGCTTCATTGACTGATGTAGTTTGGACATGTGTTGTGCATGCCGAGTCACCACCTACCTCTGCGTACCATGCTAGAGAAACCTGGATTAGGTTGTAAGAGGGTTCGGAGTGGCCAGACAAACATATGACATCAGTCAATGAAGTTGCTGACTGTTGGTCTAAATCGTATGGGAGAGATGTAGACTGCCTGGTTGGGGACTCCTAGTGATATGGCTAAGAAATCAGTCACAATGGTGCAATTGTATTCACTCTTCGCACTAACCGTAATCTTCGAATTTTTTCTTCTCTCAAACGAATTCGTCTACGCTGATATCAGTGTTTTTCCATCGACTTATTGTATACTACTATGAATTGTGACAACTTGAACCGACGCACTTGTGTACTAATTTCCATGTTGATCTTGTCTGTTGCTGAGGTGTTAGGAATCATTCGTTGTAAACCCTTGTTGGAGATATTTATTGTTGCCTACTATATTGGATAATATCATCATCATCATTATCAACATAGGACCAGGCATTACTGCGTAACGGTCCGAGTTGCCACACCTCACGTCAGTTCATCAAGTAGAAAGGTAGTGAGGTGAAGGATGAAGATAAGTGAATGCAGTCAAAAGAAATATAAAGTACGAGAAGAAAGGAAAGAGGAGTGACAAAATAGTGAGATTCGGTATAGCGTTGTTAAGATGAGGATAATGTGTGTATACATCTGCGCCACTGACTTCGGTTCTGAGCCATATCACCTAGGGTCTCCAACCACTGGTTCCTCTTGTCCCGTGGACCCCAACCACCTAGTCTGCATCGTCCTACATGGCTTAAACCAACAGTCAGAGACTTCATACATTGGTGCCATGTTTTAGTCTGGCCACCTCGGGCCTTTTTCCAGCCTGGACCCACCTCAGCCAACATTGTGTGACGAGGCAATCGGTGACTAGGCATACGTAGTACGTGTCCCAACCATCTCAGTCGATGAAGGTTCACAACCTCGTCGACTGACTTACCTCTTCTCCCTAAAACTCTACACCTAACTTCTGCATTACTCACATGGTGACACCACGGAATACGTCCTATACTACGAAGGCAACGGTGGTCAAACACCTGAAGCCTTTTCATGTCTTCCACTTTCAATGGCCATGTTTCACAGCCATACAGTAGAACAGAGCGGACTGCTGTGCAGTACACGCGACCCTTAATAGACAAACGAATATCACGGCGGCGCCATAGGTGGCGCAAATTGGCAAAAGCCAATCGAGCCTTTTGTATCCGTGCAGAAATCTCATCGGCAACTAACCCACCAGGGTTGATCCTACTTCCCAGGTAAGTGAAGTGGTCAACACACTCAACCACTTCACTCTCTATTGTTAACCGCGGTACCGCTGAAGACCAGTCCTGGAGCAAAAATTTGCATTTGGGTGGTGAAAATCGCATCCCAAACATTCTCAAATTCCCACTCAAAGTGTTCAGAAGACTCTGCATCTTGTCAGCGTCTTCACCTAACAGGACTATGTCATCTGCATATTCTAGATCTAAGGAAAATTCACCTGTGATTGGGTCAACGTTTGTGTAATTAGGTGACGAGAGGGAAACCTCCATAAGAATATCTATGATAAAATTAAATAAGAATGGGGATAGTGGGCATCCTTGACGGACACCACTTGATGAGTATAGCTCCCTGGACAACTCACCATAGGCTCTAACATGCCCACAAGTGTTCGAGTAGAGAGCTTTCAATAAGGTGATGTACTTACTAGGCACGCCTTTCAGTGACAGACACTGCCATAAGACTTCTCGATCAACGGAGTCAAATGCCGCCTTCAGGTCGAGAAATACAGCTATTGTCGGGCGTCTGTAAGCATGCCTATGTTCCAGGACCTGGCGCAGTGTGAATATTTGGTCGATACATCCACGGCCAGGTCTAAAGCCTGCCTGGTTTTCTCGGGCTTGCTGTTCCCGAGCTCCACTCAGGCGTCGGAGAATTATAGAACTTAGGATCTTAGACACTATGTTTGTCAGGCTGATTCCTCTGTGGTTATCACAAGAGGACTTCTCGCCTTTCTTGAAGACTGGGATGATGAGTGACTTAGACCAGTCGGAGGGGATCGTATTTGATTCCCATATACTGGCTAACACTTCCGTTAGCCTGACTAAGAGAACTCTACCACCATTCTTGTATACCTCAGCAGGTAGTCCGTCTGGTCCTGCTGCCCTTCCCCGTTTCAGGCTACCTACCGCTTTCTCAACTTCTTCTAGTGTTGGGGGACCTGTCTCTATGTCCCATTCAGGGTCCGACTGGATAGCGGGCAGCGCAATGGTGGCTGGAGGCCAGTTAAACTGTTCCTCAAAGTGTTCTGCCCATCGTCCCAGTCGCCTTCCCTGCGAGTGAATCGCAGATCCGTCCTTCTCCGCTATAACCTCACTAACTGTTGTTGACCATTTCCCCCCAGTCTCCTTAATAAGTCTAAATAACTGTCTACTGTTACCGATCGCCGCTGCCTTTTCCATCTCTTTAGCCTTTGCTGCCCACCACTGTTCACGATCGTTGCGCAGACTTTTCGTCAGTCTATTTTTAAGTTGCGCTCGCTCTTCATTGTACTCAGAGCCTGCAGGGATGCATTCACGTGCATCCATTAGTTTGGAAGAAGCTGCTGATATCCACTGGCTCTTTTTAGCCATTATCTTGGAGTCGGCTACAGTCTCCAGTGCTGCTTTTACAGTAGACTGAAGATGGCACCAAGCTTCTTCTGGATGAGTGACAGTCTTTTGTTCCGATAACTGCCTAGCCAACTTCTCACTGAACACGGCTTTGGTGTTTTCGTTGTCCAGCAGAACTCGTAGTGGTTTTGTTGCCAAATTTTTTCTACGTCCATTGAGACGCAGGCATATACGTGCTCGGACCAACGCATGATCGCTGTCCAAACACGTACTCCAGAAGGAGCGGCAGTCTTCCACCGATCCTCTCCAGCGATGACTAATAGCAATGTGGTCTATCTGTGTCCATCGCTGAGTCGAGCTCGGTGGACGCCAGGTCAGACAGTGCCTTTCTTTATGTCTGAAATTTGTGCTGGCTAAAAATAGGCGGTTATCTGAGCATAGTTGTAATAGGCGATCACCGTTATCTGTACGTTCAGCTGGGATTCCGAAAGTGCCACCTAAGTGCCTTTCTGCCTCACTCAGTCTACCCACCTGTGCGTTGAGGTCACCTGCAACAACCACCACGTCCGAACGTTTGGCTTTCGAGAGGAGGTTAGTATTCAAAAGTCAGTATGATATTAGATAATATCGTATCTTTTGAATACTGTTACTGTTACATTTAGTTCATTTTCACTAATTTTTTTAATTATAGAGAAAAATACATTTCGTTCTACTGCCAGTTCAGCTACGCCTACTGCTCAAACCACTAAGGTTAGCTTAAAGTTTTTTTTTTCATTTTTCATAATTTTAGACTACATATGGACCATTATCAGATGATGATAGAGTATTCACTAATATATATGGTCGACATGATTGGCGTCTTAAAGGTGCAATGAAACGTGTAAAATTGTTCATTTTTTGCATAGTTTTTAACACTAACTATTCTAATATTAAGGGTCATTGGTATAAGACAAAAGAAATTGTATTGAAAGGTAGTGATTGGATTATTGAAGAAATTAAAAAGTCTGGTTTACGTGGTCGAGGTGGTGCTGGTTTTCCTTCTGGTATGAAATGGAGTTTCATGAATAAACCTAGTGATGGCAGGTAATATTTATTGACTGCTGTTTGTTGATTTTAATATATAGAGTATCTTTGTAAAAGTTAATATTCAATTAACTTTTTGTTTTATGAATAGAATATTGGTTAAAATTAAAACCTGTTCAGGTATTCTTCTATGGAAGTAGTTAAAATGATCAATGTACATTGAAGAAATAAAATCTGGAAGTTTATCTTCAAAATCTGCACGTAAAATTGACTGACTATTGAAGATGAGGTATAACTTTTCAGCGTTGAATGTTCTCTGAAAAAAACTCCTCTCATACATTGTATCATAATAATCTTACTGATGTTATGTCTTTTGAATTCAAGTTTCCAGGAAACAGGTTTCTTGAAGACTAATTACGTCTAGTTTAACTTTCTTCTTTATGTGTATGATCACAAATTTGGCAGGTTACATATAATGTCAAGCTCCTGTTTTATGCTATCATTAGAGTAGTTGCACATTGAACTGAACGTTTCATCAGGTTTTGTTTACATTCGAGGGGTACAAAACTGTAGAAATGAGTATGATAACCAGTCGATGTTGACTTCATCGTTCCATTTGACTATAAGAATAAGACATCTCGAGAAGAAATGCATTCATTTCTTTCCTGTACATTGTGAAGCTGATGGCTGGGTGAACGTTATTAAGTCATTTTAGTGAACTATGAAAGTATCATCTATGTAATAAAAGGCATTAATATATATCTGCCTGAATGCTTCTTCTAGGGGACAGTTTTCCAGTTTGGCTAGGAACAAATCTGCCATCATGAGAATTGGTGGTGACCCAATATGAACACACCGTCAGTGTCTGTAAATGTCGTTGTTGTTGTTGAGGAAGTTAACATTCATCGTGTATCTCAGAAGAAACTCTTTCAGATTTTTGACAGGTACTTCAATTTTCACGTCATGTTTGGACATTTCACTGCATACAAAATCTACGGTTTCTAGTAGAGGAATACTGACTTTCAAACTGGACTTCTCCATCCTTTTTATTAACTGTAGATATGGTGATCACATATCGAAGGAACTTTTGTTTTACGTGTTCAGGGAGTTTATCAACTACATAGAATCTCTGTAATATTTTCCAACATTTCATTAGAATCGGATTTTAAAGAATTCAATGAGGCCTATAACGCTTCTAAAGTAATTTGACAGCTGCTTCAACACTGCGGTCTCAGTGCCACAAACCTTTATCAACCTCACTCAGCAACTGTATGACGACGCCACATGTCAAGTGATTCAAAATGAAAACCTCAGTGATGCCTTTGAAATGAAGATAAGTGTAAGATAAGGTTGCCTACTATCCTCGATGATCTTCGTGATTGTGGTCGACTGGATCATGCAACAAGCTGTAAGAAGCTGTGAGAAGGGCATATACTGGCTGTTTGACCGATGAAGAGACCCTAGAAGATTTGGATTTCGCGGATGATGCTTTATGTCTAATGTCATGTCGAAGATGTATAGGCGAAAACCTACAAGTTGGCAGAAGAGACAGGGCAGCGAAGACAGGACTTCCTTCAAGTGAAGGTAAACAATACAGAGGTGATGATGATACCCAACCAACAACAACAAGCACCAATCACCATCGATGGGAGAAATCTGAAGAAAGTTGTCTTTCACCTCCAAACCTAGGCAGCACACTCTCAATTACAGGTGGTGGCAAAGGCACAGATGGCAATGTCAAAACCAGGATCGGAAAAGCAGAAAGAAAGACACGCCTTCATTAGTCTGAAATCAGTGTGGAGATCTACTACACAGCACTGCACTCAGCATGTGGAACAAAATCCGGATTTTAAACATTAATTCAGTCAAGTTTGCTTGAATGTGGTGGCTGTGAGGCTTGGCGCGTTAAGAAAAGCATTTCCAACAAACTGAAGACATACATGAACAGCTGCCTACGTTCAGTACTGAAGATCAGATGGCCAGAATAATGAGAATAAGTAACAAGGAACTCTGGTCTGACAAAGAACCAACGAAGCAAGAACCTATCGTCCAACAAATATGCACTGGAAGGAAGTGGAGATGGATTGGGTATGCACTAAGAAGACCATTTGGGGACATCACGCTCCAGGGCCTCGAGTAGCACGCAAATGGGAAAGGACGAATTCGGTGTTCGAGGCGTGGGTGACATGGAGGTGATGGTGTGAAGAAGAAATCAAAGGTTATGAGCAGTCGTGCAACCAGGTTCAAAAGATTTGAGAGAAGAGAGCGAGATGGTGACGTGCTACTGAAGCCCTATGTTCCACTAGGAACCCAAAGAACAAATTATAATAATAATAAATCATTGTCCTTCCATGGGGTCAAGCTTTCTGGTGATGCAGAAATTCCCCATTATGTTTTAGATGGAGATTTATTACGATTTATTCATTAATGGAATTCATTGTAACTTTCTCTGCATTGAACTTTGCGCCTTGAGGAGTTGCATCAGCCCTAACAGAATGTCAAATCGGATACAAAAGGCCGGTTTAGTATTGGCTGACTTGTGTAATCTATGGCCCAGGGGAGATATTCGACCACCCATGAAAGAACGAGTGTACTGCGCTGCAGTCCACTTTGTCCTGTTATGTGGCTGTGAGACACGGTCGCTAAAAATAGAAGACACGAAAGGGTTACAGATGTTTGATCATAGGTGTCTCCGTAGCCTTTTTCGCGTTTAATGGAATCACCGTGTGAGCAATTTTAAAGCCAGGGGAAGGATGCTAGGAAAGATAGGCGACTTGGTTGATAAGGTTGGGAACCTTAGTTGGCTGAGATGGCTTAAACATATACAGTGCATACCAAGCCACCTCCTACCTCAACATGCCATCCTAGGGGAAGTTGGATTTATTTGGAAGAGGTTTCAGGATGGCTAGATCAAGACATGGCACTAGTCAATGCAGTCCCTGATTGTTGGTCTGAGCTGAATCGGGAGATGTAGGCTACCTGGGTGGATTCTCTGAGCTGATAGGAGTCAGTGGTTTAGGACCTATGACGAAATAGCTGGCAATCGGTCACAGTGCTGCAGATGTATTCACTCATTGACATCTTCGAAAGCTTGAATATTTACATTAATCTTGGTCTTACAATTGTTTATTCTCTCACACAACTTTGTCTACTTTGATAACATTCTTATCCTATCCACCTGTTCTTTGTGTACTACTGTGAAGTGTGACAACATGAAGGGATGCACTTTTGTGCAAGATTCTACGTGGATTCTGTCTTTTTAGAGCATTGAAAATTCTTATTTAGACATTGAGATGCTTTAGTCTACAGATGGGTTAAATGTTGTCTGATTTTGAAGCATTTATATTTCAAAGTGTTACCTTAACCTTCTTGGATAAGTCACTTATTCCTCTTTCTCATTTGAGTTAACTATGATGTAAACTGATGTAACTCTGTTGAAGATTCTGTTCGACATCTAAACTCACTAGTGATACTATATTCTCTTTACAAGATTTCACATCAACTCAGCTCTGATGGCTCAGTGGCCAGTGAAATCTCTGCACGGATACAAAAGGCTTGATTGGCTTTCGCCAACTTACGCCATTTGTGGCGCCGCTGTGATATTCGATTGTCTGCTAAGGGTCGCGTATACTGCACAGTAGTCCGGTCTGTTCTACTGTATGGCTGTGAAATATGGCCGCTGAAGGTGGAAGACATGAGAAGGCTGGCTTCAGATGTTTGACCACCGTTGCCTTCGTAGTATAGGCTGTATTCCATGATGTCACCACACCACGTGAGTAACTCAGACGTCAGGTGTAGAGGTTTAGGAAGGAGGTAAGTCGGTTGACGAGGTTACATGTTACGTATGCCTAGTCACCGATTGCCTCGTCACACAATGTTGGCTGAGGTGGGTCGAGGCTGGAAAAAGGCTCGAGGTGGCCAGACTAAAACATTACACCAATGTATGAAGTCTCTGAATGTTGGTTTGAGCCATGTAGGACGATACAGACTAGGTGGTTAGGGTCTGTGGGACAAGAGGAACCAGTGGTGGTTGGAGACTGACTCTAGGTGATATGGGTGAGAACCGATGTCAGTGGAGCAGATGTGTACATACATTATCCTCATCTTAACAAGGCTATACCGATTCTCACCATTTTCTCATCCTTCCTTTTTCTCTTTTCGCACTTTGTATTTCTTTGACTGCTTTCTCGTGTCTTCATCTTGCGCCTCACTGCCATTTTACTTCATGTACTAATATGAGGTGTGGGAGCTCGTAGGGTTACGCAGTAATGCCTGGTCCTAGGTTGATCTGGATGGATGGACATCAAATCAACTAATTTTAGTGTATGTAGCATATTTGATGCAGTAGTGGTGTTCTTATTTCGGTGTAGATCTATAAATCATTTGTCTAGGGACTTGGATTCTGACTGATGGACCATGGGTTGGAACTCAGCTTCACCTACCGATATCTGAGAAGCTAGATACTTCCATTAACTAATTCTTACACAGTAGATATGGATTATCGTTTACTGTATGAAGGTGCATATGGTTATTGAGCGGATTTTGACTCGTATTTTCAGTAATAAAGTTGACCAATATTGACTTTTTCCTTATCATGCTTTCTGTTTTATGTCTTAGATTTCTCTTTGTCTTAGTGCTGATGATGTCGTCCAGAAAGATGATGAAAGCTTCTCCATGATTAAACAACCCAGCTCAGAAAACACAATACAACCAAGACCATCCACCTAAGCTACAAATATTCTCCATTATTACTATTTCCATTTGACCATCTGAGATAGCAGCCGTAGTTTGGCAGACTAGTATTTATACTGGCTGATGACTGAAGGGGAAATGAGAACTTCAACTGCCGCCGACCAATAGTCATCAATAGTCAGGCGAAACCCCATGGTGATTAAAGTGAAATAAAAATGTGGTCAGCAGTTGGACCTCGTAACTCAGTTAATAGGGTATCGGGCTGGAAACCTCGGTAGTCGCTTGCTCGAATCCAGCCGCGGTCGAAATTCTCATTTTACCTTCAGTCATCACCCAGTATTATTACTATTTATCAATTGACAACTTTTGATGAACAAAATACATTTCATTTCAGTTTTTGTTGTTGTCCAAAACAGCCCTGATTCTTATTTAACACGGATAAATGGGACTGTTAATCTAATCTCTATTCTTCTTCTTCTTCTTCTCTCTCTCTCTCTCTTCTGTTTGTAAATTTTAGACCCAAATATTTGGTAATTAACGCAGATGAAGGTGAACCAGGAACGTGTAAAGATAGAGAAATTATGCGTCATGAACCGCATACACTTATTGAAGGTTGTTTGATAGCTGGACGAGCTATGGGCGCTAATGCAGCTTATATTTACATTCGTGGTGAATTCTACAATGAAGCTTCAAATATGCAATTAGCTATCAAAGAGGTGATAATTACTCATTCATAGTTTATTTATTATCTATTTTATCTTAATTTTTCAGTTGGTGATGGGTTTTTTTTTGTTTCTCTCACTTGTACACTACCGTTTGTTACTAACTGTCAACTAACTAAGCTGCTACCGTGATGTAAATGGTGGTCATACTTGCACATCACAATGATCCTGCAAGCTATACCGATGGGTACATTTATCTATTGAGTTCCAATCATAAGAGAAAGGTATGCCGGATAGTAGTAAGACAAAAAGCAGTAAATTACTATGCTATTGTGGGGGGGGGGGGTTGAGGATGAAGTCATCATCATCAGCAACGTAGGACTAGGCTTTACTGCCCAACGGTCCAAGTTGTCTCACCTCTTATCAGCGCATCAAGTAACAAGGCAATAAAATGGGAGATGAAGATAGAAAGAAAAAGAATTAGTATATGAAGACGCTACATGTCAAGTAATTCACAATGGGAAGCTCAGTGATGCTTTCGGAGTGAAGACAGGAGTGAAACAAGGTTGCCTACTATCCCCTATGATATTCCTGATTGTGGTCGACTGGATCATGCAACAAACAGTGAGGAACGAGAATAGGGAGATACGCCGGCTGGACCATAGAAAAGAACCTAGAAGATTTGGATTTCACCAGTGATGACTTGTGTCTGATGTCTTATCGCACAAACTTGAAGATCTACAGACGAAAACTAACAAGTTGACAGAAGAGGCAGGGCAGGGCAGGGCAGCGAGGGGAGACGGGACTTCAAGTGAATGTAGAGAAGACAGAGAGAGGTGATGAAGATACCCAACAAACACCACCACCACCACCAACAACAACAACAACAAACTCCAATCACCATCAACAGGAGAAACTTAAAGGAAGTAACCTCCTCCACCTATCTAAATAGCACTGTTTCAACTACACGTGGCACACACAAGCACGTCATACCCAGTCAGCATCAGAAACACACCAAGACACACTTTCATTAACCTGAAACCAGTGTGGAGATCTTCTGCACTGCACTGCACTGCACTCAGCATAAAGCGTGAACAACATCCCGATTCTCAACACCAATCCACTCAAGTCAGTGCTCCTGTATGGTTCACAGACTTGGCGCCTTACGAAAGGGATTTACAACAAAACTACACACATTCATCAACAACTGCCGTCTACCCTGGCTCCTTACTCAAGATCACATGGCCAGAATAATAAGAATAAACAACAAGCAACTCTCGTTGGCTGACAACGAACCAACAAGGCAACAACCTATCACAAAACAAATATGGACTGGAAGGAAGTCGAGATGGATTGGGCATACACTGAGAAGGCCGACTGGGGACATCATGAGTCAGGCCAGTCACTCGAGTGGAACCCCGATGGGAAGCGACGAGTTGGGCGTCCGATGCGAGGGTGACATGGAGGAGATCGTGCGAGGAGGGAATGAGAGCTTGTGAGCAGTCGTGGAACCAGGTTCAAAAGAGTGGAGAGAAGAGAGTGGAATGGAGATGTGCTACTGAATCCCTATGTTCCATTAGGAACCCAAGGGACAAATAATAATAATAGTAATAATAATAATAATAATAATAATAATAATAATAGATAAGAAAGTATGTCTTCGAAATGTCTGGACTTATGTTTCATGCTTGTTAACTACTAGTCAACAAGGGGTGGATCTGCAACCTGGAAAAAGGCTCGGGGTGACCAGACTAAAACATGGCACCAATGCGTAAAGTCCTTGACTGTGACCGATTTCAGTTGTCCCCTTTTAACTCGACCAGAAAGTCTACATTTTCTTACACCGAACAACAACCAAACTTAATGGGCTTATACCATGCTTTGCTGTGGCCGCTCTTTCCTTCCTGCAAATCGGGCAGATCGTGAATAAGCTTGCGTGACAATCACCTCAACCATCTAAGCCGATGAAGGTTCACAACATCACCAACAGACTTCCCTTTTCTTCCTAAAACTTTACACCTGACTTCTACGTTACTGACGTGGTGACAACATGACACACCATATATGCCACGAAGGTGACGGTAGTCGAACACCTGAAGCCTTCTCATATCCTCAACCTTCGATATTCATGTCTCACAGTTGTATAGGAGCACAGAACGAACTGCAGCACAGTACACTCGACCCTTAATAGGCAGTCGTATATCGCTTCGACGCCACAGATGGCGTAAGTTGGAAAAGGCCAATTGAGCCCTTCGTGTCTGTGCCGAGATTTCATCGGTGACTGACCCAACAGGATTGATATTACTCCCCAGGTAGTTGAAGTGGTCAGTGCACCAAACCACCGTTAAACGGAATGTTACGGTATATCAGTCTTGGAGAAATAACCTGCATTTTGGTGACCAGAAACCCTTCCCAAATATTCAAGGTGTCCAAAAGAGTCTAAATTTTGTCAGCATCTTCACCTAACACGACTATATCATTTGCTAACTTTGGATCGGCTATGGATTCTCCTGTAATAAGATCAGATGAGGAGAATGAGACCTCCCTAATTACATCTGTGGCAATTGAATTAGAATAAATAGAGTAAGCACCATTGTCGGACACCATTTCATACACACAACTGACCTAACACCTCTCCATAAACTCTAAGGTGCCCGGCGGTTTTTTAAGTACAAAGCCTTTAACAAGATGATGTACTTATCTAGGACACCTTTCAGTGAAAGACTACCATAAGACCTCTCGATCAATAGAGTCGAATGCTTCCTTGAGGTTTAGAAGCACAACTGGAGTTGGGTGTTGGTAAGCGTGGCTGTGTTCCAGAACCTGGCAAAATGGGGATTGTGTGTGAATATCTATTCGATACACCATTGACCAAGTGTGAAATCTATTTGGTTTTTTCCCGCTCACTATCCCTAAACTTCACTCAGAGATGTCTAGTGGTTATAGAACACGAGAGCTTAGATGCCAATTCGTCAAACTGATTCCCCTTTGATCACAAAAGGATTTCTCTCCATTTTTGAAGACTGGGACAGACACTGATTAAGACCAGTCACAGGGTTTCATCTCTGATTCCTATACGAAAGTTAACACTTTAATTATTCCAATCAAAAATCCCTGACCATCTTCCTTTAATACGTTTAATTTGAGCCCTTTGGCCGTCCTACGTTTTGACATACTTAACGCCTCAACTTTTTCAAGAGTTTTTTTTTGGGGGGGGGGGTGACTGTTGGCTTGTTCTGTTCAGGTTCCGACTGGATAGCAAGCAACGGAACAGTAGTTGGAGGCTAGTTGAACTGTTTCTCGAAGTGTTCCGCCCATCGTTCCAATCGTCTCCGCTTCGTGTGAATCGCAGACTCATTTTTCCCCGCTATATTCTCACTGACCTTTTCTCCCTAGTTTCCTTGTTAATTCCAAACAACCATCGCCACTGCCGTTTTCATGTCTTCAGCCTTCGATGCCCACCGCTGCTTGCGTAGACATTTTGTCAACTTACCTTCGAGCTACTTCCGCTCCTCATTGTGCTCGGAGCCTGCGTGAATGTGTTGGCGTGCATCCATTAATTCAGAGGAAGCTGCTGAAATCTGTTGGCCCTTTTTAGCCACTCCCTAAGAGTTGGCTACATTCTCCAACTCTGTTTTTACAGTAGACTAGAGATGGGTCCAGGCTTTCTTCGAATGAGTGTTGTTCTGTCCCAGTAACTGTCTGGCCAGTTTCTCACGGAAAGCAGCTTTAGTACTCTCATCAAGGAGCGTCGCTTGGAATGTTCTTGTCATTGTAGTTTTCCCACATCCATTCAGGTGCTGCTACGCACGATCACTGTTCCGACACTTGCTCAAAATGGAGCGACAATCTTCCACTGACCCTCTTTAACCATAGCTGACAAGGTCGGTCCGAAGGTGTCTCTCTTTATGTATGAAGTTCGTGTTGACCAAAAATGTATTCTGATATAAGCGCAGTTGTAGTAGACAATCGCCATTATATGTCCGTCCGGCTGGTATCCTGAAAGTGTCACCTGAGTGATTTTCTTTCTATCTCAGTCTACTCACTTGTGCATTGATATCAATTACAACGATAACCATGTATGAACGTCTAGCCTTCAGTAGGAGGCTACAGAGTTTTTAATAAAGCCCATCTCTCACTTTACCCGTACCGCAATCACTCAGGGGACGGTGCGTAAAGAAACAACGGAGAGTTTCACTGTTTTTTCATTCCCCATTTCACTGATCAATCGAGTAGTGCACACGTAGTTGTCAACTGGAATCCAGTTGAGCACTGCACGATTTGCTTTAGGACCTAATGCCATGCCTACACCCGAAAAACTACGAAAATTATCCATTGAACCTGTAGAAACTCGAAGGGTGAATTTTGTGGGTTCACCATATTGACCAGTTGTGATTAAGTGAGTATATACACTTGTCCTGTATGCATGTCTTACAAACACGGTAAACCTCAATAGTCCTAGACACCAGGGTTTTGACTAGTGACTGTTTGTTGGCCGATTTGATGGAGGGTACGAACATTGAAAGCTGCAATGCTTAGTTTGGAGCGTGGTTTCAAGAGACCGGTCGTTATCAAGGGGTGCAGAGCTGGAAGAAATTAAAGACAATACAGGAATATTGACCGAGAAGCATGAAGGGAGATTGGAAGCTAAAGATAAAGTAGGTAGACAGTAATCTGATAGAGTTATGATGGCGATTAGGGCTTGCAAGCTGCCCCCGTCTTGGGAGGCTGTATCTTCTTGTTGTACCTGAAAAAGGTTAGTGCGTGACCGCTAAGCCAAAGGGACATCTGCTTGAGGCCGGTCATACACGGTTTTTGTTGAAGCTTGACAGTTTTGTTTATTTTGTCCAAGTCCTACTCTGAACTCATATTGCTGGCACCGGTATGCTGTGGATTAGAGGAGAGTGTGCTATTCTTAGAGTTGGCTCTTTCCACAGCCCATCCCATTTCCGAAAAGGTAGCATAAGTGTGACACTGCTGGTCATCCAAGGGAAACACACCCGATCACTATTACATCACCAGCAGCAGTATAACTTCACCCTCATATCTTTATCATTGCTTAGCAATTTACACTACAATGGTAACTGCCTTTTGTCTAACCACTATCCAATAGACCTTTCTGGCATAATAGAACATCGCGGAAACACGTTTTCCACCAATATAGCTCGTTGGGCCACTTTTATAGGTAAGCGTGACCACCATATCAAGTTATCAGTTATCCATCAGGTAAAGTAATAATTTAGAAGTAGTATTCATCATGGACTGACGTCAGTTGGGGAACCATTGAGAATCTAGGAGCATTGGACATCTGTTTCGTCCAACTAGTATGGGACCGGTGAGCAGTACGCACCCACGATCCAGCTAGGGATGGAACTCAGGACGTTCAGGTTTCATGGCGAACTCGTTAAGCATTCAGCCACTGGATCGGTTTCCAGTGGTTGACAATTTCCAACTTTTGTCAACTCACGACATAGAGTGACTATCACCCAAGGTCTTCAGTTAGCATCCACTTCACTTCCGACTGGTTGACCCCACAGGTCACGGCTTCTCATTAGAACTTCGTGATATGCATCTGAAGCAAGTCACTAATGATCACTATACAATAATGTATTTTTGAGATGATTTGGTGATTTTATGTATAATATTCTTACACAATTATATTCCAATTACCTTATTTCTTATCCAGTTAAAATTATTTTGATGTACTTTTCTCACAGGCTTATGAAGCTGGTCTACTAGGCAAAAATGCATGTGGTACTGGATATGATTTCGATGTTTATATGCATCGAGGAGCTGGAGCTTATATTTGTGGTGAAGAAACTGCTCTAATTGAATCTCTCGAAGGAAAACAGGTATAGTACTCTTCATTTTTCTTCCTTTCTTTGTAGTTGTTAGCGTTTTATAATGTTGTGTACAAAGGCTGCGGTCAACTTTATACATATTCAAATAATATAAGTATAGATCTATCATATAACCCACTGGAAGTCTTTGAAAGAGATGTGGAAAGAAACCTGCACAGTCGAATTAGGAAGGAAGAAGAAAGAAGACAAGGAATGGATATCGACGGATACATGGAAGCTGATAGATGAGGGAGAGGAGGATGGTTAAGCGGAAGATAAACCAGTGCAAGGATGCACAACGACAAGAGGAACTGAATACAATGTATAAAACACTGGACAAAGAAGTGAAGAAGACTGCACGGAAAGACAAAAGACACTTCTACGAAACACTGGCAAGTGAAGCAGAACAGGCTGCCGGCTGGTAGGAGAGACCTGACAACATTGTATCAAATAACCAGGTTGCTGTCTGGGAGGAGATCAACGCAGACGAAACCAATGAAAGATGATGACGGAAATTTAATTACGAAAGAAGAGGAACAAAGGAAACGATGGGCCGACCACTCCAAGAAGCTCTTGAATCAACCACCACCACCACCACCACCTGCACTTCGTCCAGAAATACCACCTGCAGCCCAGCCACAGAACTACAAGTGAACATAAATCCTCCAACAAAAGTGGAAGTCCTGAGCGCCATAAAGCTACTGAAATGTGGGAAAGCAGCAGGACCAGATGGAATCCCGCCAGAAGCACTGAAAACAGAAGCAGAGACAACAGCAGAGATGCTCACACCACACCACTGTTGCAGAAGATGTGGAAGGAAAGGAAGGTACCTGGCCATTGATTGGAAGAAGGGCTGCCATGTCAAACTCTCAAACAAGGAAGACCTCAGTGTTTGCAAGAACTGGCGCGGAATCACTCTCCTGTCCACCCAATGCAAGCAAAATATCAAGCCGAATCATCTTGGAGAGACTAAAGGATGCACTGGATTCAAAACTACGACCGGGACAGGCTAGCTGTATTCAGGAAGTACAAATCATGTGCGGACCAAATTGCAACGCTTCGCATCATCATTGAACAGAGTATAGAATGGCAGTCCACTGTACCTGTACCTCCACTTCATCGATTTTGAAAAGGCCTTTGACAGCGTCGACCGAGAAGTAATTTGGAAACTGCTTCAGCACTACGGTTTTAGTGCAACAAACCTTTACCAAGCTCAGTGATGCTTTCGAAGTGAAGACAGGAGTGAAAAAGGTTGCCTACTATCCCCTTTGATATTCCTGATTGTGGTCGACTGGACTGGATCATGCAGCAAACAGTGGGGAGCTGTGAGAAGAGGGGGATACGCTGGCTGGACTGCGGAAAAGAACCTAGAAGACTTGGATTTCGCCGATGACTTGTGCCTGATGTCACATAAACTTGAAGATCTACAGGCAAAAACTAACAAGTTGATAGAAGAGGCAGCGAAGACGGGACTTCAGTGAATATAGAGAAGACAGAAGTGATGAAGATACCGCACCATCAACAACAACAACAACAAACTCCAATCACCGTCAACGGAAGAAACTTAAAGGAAGTAACTCCTTCACTTATCTAGGAAGCACTGTTTCAACTACAGGCAGGACAGACGAGGATGTCAAAGTCAGAATCGGAAAAGCAAGACAGGCGTTCATTAACCTGAAACCAGTGTGGAGTTCTTCTGCACTGCACTGCACTGCACTGCACTGCACTGCACTCAGCATAAAGCGTCAACAACATCCGGATTTTCAACACCAATTCAGTCAAGTCACTGCTCCTGTATGGTTGAGAGACTTGGCGCGTTACGGAAGGCATTTCCAATAAACTACACACATTCATCAACAACTGCTTACGCTCGTTACTGGGGATCAGATGGCCAGAAAGAATAAGCAACAAGGAACTCTGGGAACAAACCAACCAAGAACCCATCACCCAACAAATATGCACTGGAAGGAAGTCGAGATGGATTGGGGATACACTGAGAAAGCCGACTGGGGACATCACGTGTCAGGCCTTCGAGTGGAATCCCCATGGGGAGCGACGAGTTGGGCGTCTGAGGGGAGGGTGATATGACGGAGATCGTGCGAGGAGGAAATGAGAGCTTGCGGGCTGTCGTGGAGCCAGGTTCAAAAGATTTCAGAGAAGAGAGTGGAATGGAGGCGTGCTACTGAATCCCTATGTTTCATTGGGAACCCAAGGGACTAATAATAATAATCATATCATATAACCTATTTCAGGGTTCTTCGATTGTAATATAGAGTGGATGAGTTAGTGAACGAATGAATTGCTGAGTGATGTTTATGCAATCAGATAACACCAAGGTCTATGGGTATCTATGAGTTAGACCAGTGTGGATAAGAAACTAGTATGACATACTTGGGAGATTCTCGTTTTCTCAACTCTGTTTACCTATTGGTTGAAACATTCAATTTTAAATTTGTTTCCACCTAATAATGTATATATCTAGGTGAATTAGTTAATTGAGTGTAGGTAGTTAGTTTCATTAATTTTTGTCTCCTTCAATTGATAAGGGTAAACCGCGTTTAAAGCCTCCTTTTCCTGCGGATATTGGATTATTTGGTTGTCCAACAACTGTTACAAATGTTGAAACAGTTGCTGTTGCACCTACAATTTGTCGTCGAGGCGGTGATTGGTTCGCTGGTTTCGGTAGAGAAAGGAATCGTGGGACTAAACTATTCAATATTTCAGGTAAGATTGGTGTTATTATCATTAATCACCTTCGGTTTCATGATGTAGGCTATTGATAATCCCTTAGTAACTTTCTCTTTGCTAAACTAACCGTTTGAGCATAACTTATAATCAGGCATTGAAACTATTGTAATCCCCAAAATACCTTTTAAGAAGCCTCACTCAATATTTGCTCCGATAACTTATTTGATTGTGACCAGTATCAGTTAGATGGGATCTGATAGAACTCGTGATCTCTTTTATCTCTGTTTACTATCCATATCGCGAAGATCCCTGGAGAGCGGGTCATAGGTGCACACTACTGAGGAGTCCTATCCTGGGGCGAAACGGTTTCCCTGTGCTCTAAGGTTCCCAATATTCCTCCAGCTAACATCGGTTCATAATGAATACCAACGTGAAAGTGATAAATCCCCACAAACCTCCAAATTAAAGTTTGCATACGTATGTAATCACGTGTTCTGTCAATTTCATTGTAAAGTTATAGCTTATTAGCTTCGGCAGTTAACTTTCAACCGACCCGCAGGGCTCAGACGAATGATCAAAGACTTCATTGACTACTGCCACGTCTTGGAATTGTCAGCTTAAACCCTCTTTCAAAGTAGTCGAACTTTGGTTCGAGCCACCTCAGTTGACTAAGGTTCAAAACCTTATAAGTCGACCGACTTGCTTGTTTTGCCTATAACTCTTCACCTGATCTCGACCTTGCTGTCATGATGATTCCATTAACAAGATAGAATGGATTGCAGCGCAGTATACTCGTCCTTTGATCGATAGTCGAATATCTCCCTGGGATCAAACCAATTAGGCACAACTGAACGCTTGTCCATAACCCATGAACTGTTATCTGTCATTTTGAATGAATTAGACAATATCAAGTTAACCAGGATTATACTTCTCTTTTCTTTTAACTGGATCTTGAGGGCATCGCTTTTTGAAAACACTGACAAGTTACGATTATTTTCACACTTCTATTATACCATGGATTATTAAGAGACATGAAGGAAGATTAGAAGGTAATGATGAGGGAGGTGGATAGCAGTCTAAAGAAACTTGAGTGCTGATCGAGTTGTGAGAGCGGTTGACACTTCCTGGCTGCCCACACCATGGAAGGCTATTTCTCCTTGAGGTACCTGAAAGAGATTTGTGTGACCGCAGAGCCCATCGGACATCTGCTTGAAGTCTGTCATACGCTTAGCCTTTTGAGTATGGTTGTTTTGAACTTTTGTATTTTGGGGGCTGGATGGTCTGAAAGAAACGACAAATGAACTAACACTGCCGGTCCGGCAGACCGCGTGGGATATGGTGGAGTGTGTTGTTTTCGTGGCCAACCTTTTCTAATCCCTGTTGTCTTTCATTGAGAAGGCAGCATCAGTATGACACTGCTTGTCATCGATCCAGGTAACAGCAGTACGACTTCGCCCTCAGACCTGCATCATAGTGTAGTTATTTACACCATAACGGTAATTGCTTTTTGTGTAACCACTATGCAACAGATGTTTCTGGTATGATAGAATCTTGAGGGAACAAGAGTTTCAGCTAGTGTATGTGGTTAAGTGATTGTGATATGCAAGCCTGACCACCACGTTAAGGTAGCAGCTATCCTCATCTTAACACTATAACGAATCTCACCATTTTCTCATTCTTTTTTTTCTCTCTTCTCGTACTTTCTATTTCTTTTGACTGATTTTCTTGTATTCATCTTTCACCTCACCGCCTTTCTACTTGATGTACTGATATGAGGTGTAGTGGGAAGTCGGACCGTTACGCAGTAATGCCTGGTCATATGTTGATATTCATGATGATAATGATTATTATTATTATTATTATTATTATTATTAGTCCCTTGGGTTCCTAGTGGAACATAGGGCTTCAGTAGCACGCCTCCAGTGACCTCTGTTCTCTGAGATCTTTTGGACCTGGTCCCACGACAGCCCAGAAGCTCTCATTTCCTCCTCGCACGATCTCCGTCATATCACCCTCCCCTCAGACGCCCAACTCGTCGCTTCCCATCTGCGTTCCACTCGAGGGCCTGACACGTGATGTCCTCAGTCGGCCTTCTCAGTGCATGGCCAATCCATCTCCACTTTCTTCCAGTGCATATTTGTTGGGTGATAGGTTCTTGGTTGGTTCGTTCCCAGAGTTCCTTGTTGCTTATTCTTTCTGGCCATCTGATCTTCAGTAACGAGCGTAAGCAGTTGTTGATGAATGTGTGTAGTTTATTGGAAATCCTTTCGTGACGCGCCAAGTCTCTGAACCATACAGGAGCACTGATTTGACGTTGGTGTTGAAAATCCGGATCTTATTCCTCATGCTGAGTGCAGAAGAACTCCACACTGGTTTCAGGTTAATGAACGCCTGTCTTGCTTTTCCGATTCTGACTTTGACGTCTTCGTCTGTCCGCCTGTAGTTGAAACAATGCTTCCTAGATAAGTGAAGGAGGTTACTTCCTTTAAGTTTCTCCGTTGACGGTGATTGGAGTTTGTTGTTGTTGTTGTTGGTGGTGCGGTATCTTCATCACTTCTGTCTTCTCTATATTCACTGAAGTCCCGTCTTCGCTGCCTCTTCTATCAACTTGTTAGTTTTTGCCTGTAGATCTTCAAGTTTATGTGACATCAGGCACAAGTCATCGGCGAAATCCAAGTCTTCTAGGTTCTTTTCCGCCGTCCAGCGTATCCCCTCTTCTCGCTCCCACTGTTTGCTGCATGATCCAGTCCAGTCGACCACAATCAGGAATATCAAAGGGGATAGTAGGCAACCTTGTTTCACTCCTGTCTTCACTTCGAAAGCATCACTGAGCTTCCCATTATGAATTACTTGGCATGTGGCATCTTCATATAGTTGTTGAATGAGGCGGATAAAGGTTTGCGGTATTCCGTAGTATGAAGCAGTTTCCAAATTACTTGTCGGTCAACGCTGTCAAAGGCTTTCTGGAAGTCGATAAGTTGAGGTAGAGAGCTGATTGCCATTCTATGCTCTGTTCTATGATGATGCAAAGGGTTGCAATGATAATGATGATGACCATGGATTATTATCATCATTTAGACATAGTATCACTAACCGAGTTTCCTGTAAGAATTGTATCTATGTTATCACCTATCCACTTAAGCTTAATTACAAAGTTGATTGTGTCTATGTTACTGTTCAAGAGTTGTGAAACAAAGCAAAGTGACTAATCATTTCATCGATGTAGATTTCATAAAATTATCATCATAGTCAGTGTGTTTAGCTTAACACTGTAGAATTTATTATGGCTTTCTCACTATCAGTTAGACTTGAATGACTTCTACTGCTTGGTATTTTTCTCTTTTTTTCTCTCTGTGTGTGTATATATATATAGGGCATGTTAACAATCCATGTACTGTTGAAGAAGAAATGTCTATTCCATTGCGTGATTTAATTGAACGACATGCTGGTGGTGTTATTGGTGGTTGGGATAATTTACTAGCAGTTATTCCAGGGGGTAGTTCAACTCCATTACTACCTAAAGAGTAAGTTGAATATAAATACTAATTATGAGTCGTACCGCCTCCTATAATGTGATGGTTATTGATGATACTATGTGACTGCTCATTCATCATTAGGGTGGAGCGGGACTCGAACTAGCGACCCATTGGTTGAAAGTTATCTCCGTAAACCAGTGAGCCACAGTTACGCGATAAAATGTTTTTTACAGTGTTCATATATAGTAAAAAGAATGTTTGATGATGATAGTGGTCTTCTTTAACAGTGTCAGACGAGGGAATGGACTCAACATATAGATCAGTAAGCATTATGAACAACTTCGTAAGGATTATGTGTTTAGTGCAGTATTTATATCATTCTGGTTTGACTGACTGACTGGCTGCTTTTTAACTACTCACTTTGTTCGTTAGTAGTATCTTTCTCTAGTTCATGACATTTTTGTATCAAAAATCACATCTTACGATCTCCGCTGAGTGATTTCCAGTGAAAACTCTGACATCATAGTTGGACAGCAGTTGAAAACCTACTCACCTGTGAGAAATCTCAATGTGGATCAAGAGATTTGTAAATAATTTGCAAATTGTGCATTCCGTTTTAGGGATATACCGGTCTATACGATTCAGCTAGCCAGGTACTTGGACCGGTAGTATGACGTAATAGTCTACGGGTCGTACGAAGAAGACGGACCGTTGATGGAGCGCTTTTTACTGTTTCGACAACAGTCAAAACAGTTGAGAGTGATGCTGAATATATACATTTCTAAATGACCTTGACAACACTAAATCAACATTTAGGTTAAACTAGTTGACAACCAATCATAGTTCAGCCTTCAGAGTAGTGAGGAAAACAAAAGCTAGCAACGGTATGTGAAAATAAAAATGATAAGTTATCTTCAAGTTATAGGCAAACATTAATCAGAAGTTATGGAAAATCAGGAGTACATAGCACCAGATTTAGGTGGTTTGAACTGATTTGACTGTCTCAGCTGAATTTGTCTGGGTACACCGCTGATGCGCTGGCTCGAACTCAAACAAGCGAAGCGATCGTCTGGTAATTAGATCACTTTAATCTGGGTGGCTGGCCAAATACTCCATATTAACTTGAGTGGTTTCTAACTACTCATGTTGTTCAGAAGTAGTAGTTATGTTGGAAATGGAAGTTGGGAAATACATCTGAATATTCTTGGAGATCGATTATTGCGGAGTGGACTATCTGTCGAACTCATCGAGTATGTATTCAACTTCTTTGACTTGAGAGCTACCTAGATGGCTTACTATCGTAGTACACTAGCTGAGTAGTCACATTGCCATTTGATTGGTCGAATTCGATCAGTACTTTGAAATACATAACATAAAATGAGTCAGTCTCCAGTGATTAACCTACGTCTATCATCCATTTCTTTTTGGTGAGATCAATCGATGAATATTTCTTTGACAAGATCTTGAACTGTAGCCCTCGATGATATGGGTTAAAATCACCAATGAGACATTATTTCTCTCTAGGTTATGGATACGCCTTGCTGATAAGTCCTGACAGGTACGAAACCTATGTATATTGTCTCCTGCCAAGCACCTCTAACTAGGCAATTTATACCTAACAATATGTAGGTTTTAATGAATTTCCTAATTTACTACTAGTCAATTTCTCCTTATTCCTTAAGAGTTTTGTAATGAATTTTTATACTTAACTTGAAATTTATTTACTCTTTTCATGTTGCTTACCTGATTACAGTATTTGTAGTACTGTTCTAATGGATTTTGATGCTTTGGTCCAAGTGAATTCTGCTTTGGGTACAGCGGCAGTGATTGTAATGAATCGATCAGCTGATGTTGTACATTGTATTTCACGTCTTATCAAATTTTATGAACATGAAAGTTGTGGTCAATGTACTCCATGCCGTGAAGGATGTCGTTGGATGGGTCAAATAATGACCAGATTTGGTAAGTATATACATTCTACCTTTTTTTTTAATGTACAATTCTCTATCAGTGTTTTTGAAGGTGTTTTGAACATTGAATTTGATAGATAATTTCTGTTTTCTGATGTAATCGAAGCAAATGATAAGTGATGAAGCCAACCAGCTGTAGGACGTATTGTATATTGATCATCAGATAAGGAGACCAGGGATGCTGTTCTGTGGATTCAGATCGTTGTCGAAGGCTTCAGAGCTAGGAGGAATTAAAGATGATGTAGTATCGTTAATTGAGAGATGTGAAGAGAGATTAGAAGGTAATGATGAGGGAGGTGGATAGCAGTCTAAAGAAACTTGAGTGCTGACAGCATTGTGAGAGCGGTTGACACTTCCCGGCTGTCCACATCATGGAAGGTTATTTCTCGTTAAGGTACCTGAAAGAGATTTGTGTGACCGCATAGCCCATCGGACATCTGCTTGAAGTCTGTCATACGCTTAGCCTTTTGAGTATGGTTGTTTTGAACCTTTGTATTTTGGGGGCCGGATGGTTTGAAAGAAACGACAAATGAACTAACACTGCCGGCCCGACAGACCGCGTGGGACATGGCGGAGTGTGTTGTTTTCGTGGCCAACCTTTTCTAATCCCTGTTGTCTTTCATTGAGAAGGCAGCATCAGTATGACACTGCTTGTCATCGATCCAGGTAATAGCAGTATGACTTCGCCCTCAGACCTGCATCATAGTGTATTAATTTATACCATAACGGTAATTGCTTTTTGTGTAACCACTATGCAACAGATGTTTCTGGTATGGTAGGATCTTGAGGGAACAAGGGTTTCAGCTAGTGTATGTGGTTAAGTGATTGTGATATGCAAGCCTGACCACCACCACCTCAAGGTAGTAGCTATCGATCGGGGATCGTTAGATAAGTAAAAATGGAATGCATTTTAAGTGATAGCGGCCACCTGGAGGTTGGTGGTGGTCGAGCTTACATTTGACGATTAACTATGTTGGGAGAAACGCTTGTTCTTTTGAATCCCTACCGTACCAGAAAGTCTGTTAGGTATTCGAGTCTGATGACTGGATGGGGGTTGTGATAGAAGTTGAGTTTTTCCCTTTGATGATGCCTAACAGTGCCACGCTGATACTACCTTCCCTTTGGGTACGTGGGGAGTTGAGAAAGGTTAGGCCCTTAAAATAGCGCACTTCACACTACCCCAGTGGCATGCCGGTGCCAGCAATCTGGGTTCATAGTCGGCCTCAAAACTAACAAACCGGAATCTCAAACACTGTGTGAGCAACCTCAAACAGACATCTCATGGGCTCTGCAGTCATACAGTAACCCTTCTTTTTCAGGTACTTTTTAACAAGAAATAACCTTCCACGGTGTGGGCAGCCAGGAAGTGTCAGCCGCCTTCACGATTCTGTCAGCATTCAAGCTTCGTCAAATTATTTTTCTTTTTGAAGTTTATTAACAAAAAGGAAACTGTAGATACTCCGGAATATTCTGTAAATTCATTGTCTTTCTATGACTTCTCTCTTGGTTGTAAAAACAATTCCAAATAATAAACCACACTGATTTGTAGATTCCCAAGGCAGGGGGGGGCTGAGCTCATCAGCGGTGTATCCGGAAAAATTCATTTCATAGAGCGGGAAGAATCGCTGTCCAGATACTGCGGTGGTAACGTCACTGACGTCAACATTAGGTGAAGCGCGTTTGAATCTCAAGCGGAGCATCAGTTCCGTCAAGATTGTAGATACTCTTTGCTGACGAGTCGCAACAAGCAGGAGACCTAGGTTCAAGACTTCCTGCTGATTACCTCCAACTTTCAAACACATTACCTTCATCTTTTTGTCATTTCATTATTGTATAATTCCTCCTTGTTATCTTATCGTGACTTTCTACCAATTTTAAATACTTTCTGCTCTATATCGCTATTTTTCATCTTAGTACAGTTTCGCTTGGTATGTTGATATGAAGTTGTTGAACGTTGGGGGTTGACACTCGATATTTCTGCATCGTTAGCGGCCGTAGCAAATAACACCTCTCGAATCGTAACAGTAGTGATGGGAATGGGATATTGGAAAATGGATTCTTCAAAGTTGGACAATTTCTTCGAAAAACAAATGAAGATTATCGGATCATAACGGAATCCAAAATTTCTGGTACTGAATCATCTCCTGCTACACCAGTTTTAATACAGCCTTCACTTGATGGCATCGCCAATAGAATCACTGAATTTCACTACGATCCAGATGCCAATGCGACTTTCGATAGTTGGTGTAGGCCTAGCGAAGACTACTTCAAAGTGGATTTTGCTGGCCAAGATGATTTCTAGAGGGTACGTCTCCTACTTCGACCTATTCCACCTGAGCCCGACCAGTACTGCTACATGATTTTGCTGCAAAATCCACGTGATAGCTCCTTAGACGCCACAGTCCAGATACTGAATGACATGTCTGCAGAACATCAACGACTAAGTTACCTAAATCGTGTTGTGTCTAACCCAATCCGGACGCCAGGGTGATTGTTAAGTACATAATATTCGTCAGACATCTCATTCCTCCGCATCACCCTTTGGCCACACACACACCCTGGTCTTATCTCGCTAGTTGATCGGCCCAGTAACTCATGCGATACCAACCGGCCCTCGAAGAAAACACTCTGACCGCCTTGTTGGCATTGTGGTGCCTGGCATTTCGTCAAATCTGGTCCACCTAAACAACATCGATACCAGGACTGTAATGCTGGATGTCATAATGACGGTTTTTACCGCCAATACACAACGACGTGTACAAAGATCATCCTTCAGATACCGCTGTAAATCCCATTCCCGATCGGTAGGGGAATCTCTTGACTTGGTAGCTGATTTTCATGCCCATGCACCTTCCAGCAGAAAGAATATCGAGAAGACTACCGATCCCCCAGTAAACAAGGAGGAACTCCGTCTACGTCAGATAAATGCAAGAAAAAGACAGTATGACCCACTCTGACCCCAAGTAACATTCTTTCGATAAGGGAGGTGGTGTGTTGATGGAGAGAAATGACTAGTCTGGAGAGGGATCAGTCAAAATGTACTTTTTGTTGTCACATCTACAGTTAGATCAACCAATCAGTATTATTATTATTATTTTAAACATACTAGATATATATTTTCAGGGAGTTGTGGGGATTTGGAAATATTTCAAGTTGTTTCTCATCTTACACTGACATCAGTTGAAGGAACAAAGGAAACCTGGGAGCACTGGACAGCTGTTTCGTCCTAGTATGGGATTCCTCAGCAGTGCACACCCACGACCCCGCGACCTTCAGGTTCCGTGGCCAGCACGTTACCATTGAGCTACTGGGTCAGAATCCAATGGTCTTTATTCCCAACTTCTGTTAGCTCACGTGCTGCCCACGGAACCTGAAGGTAGTGGGTGCGCACTACTGAGGAGTCCCATACTGGGACGAAACGGCCACAGTCCAGTGCTCCCAGGTTTCATTTGTTCCTCCAACTGATGTCAGTTTACGATGAATAATAACTGGAAATATATATTTTCCTTTGTTTTTGTGGTTTTCGGTCTTTCGACTCCAATACACGTTTCTACATGTCCATCATGTCTTCCTCATTAATTAGTCAGGTCAAGAATCACCCAGGAATTTGTTAAATGTTGTTGGCTGACACTCGATATCCGTGCATTGTTAGCGACCATAGCACATAGCAGTTTTCGAAACATAACAAAAGTGTTGTAATTTGGACCAGTACTCAGTTATTGCCAGGCTCTATGTTAATACTGACTTAATTGACTGATGCCGGGACTTTACGCATAATGAGGAGCACTAGTAGCGTTAACATAAGTTGATGAGTTTACACCAGTGACCGTGAGCAGTAGTGGTATATCCTAAATAGGTGACAGTGATAGATGATAACAACAGTCATTTGTTTATGCTTATCGAGAAAATTGGCTAGGAAAGTTTTAGTAGGAAATGATTGGTTAACGATCTACTCACATGATGCGTTTCTGGACCAATCGGGAGAAAGCCTTGATGAAAACTTCAAGTAACTTCTTGCTACTCATCAGTTAGTTGGTCAGTGTTCTCTTACAGGTTAAATGGAACATTGATATAATTCCTTCACCTTATTACACAAACGTTGACCCAATCACAGGTGAATTTTCTTTAGATCTAGAATATGCAGATGACATAGTCAATCCTGTTAGGTGAAGACACTGACAAGATGCAGAGTCTTCTGAACACTTTGAGTGACAATTTGAGAATGTTTGGGATGCAATTTTCACCACCCAAATGCAAATTTTTGCTCCAGGACTGGTCTTCAGCGGTACCGCGGTTAACAATAGAGAGTGAAGTGGTTGAGTGTGTTGACCATTTCACTTACCTGGGAAGTAGGATCAACCCTGGCGGGTTAGTTGTCGATGAGATCTCTGCACGGATACAAAAGGCTTGATTGGCTTTTGCCAATTTCAGCCACCTATGGCGCCTCCGTGATATCCGTTTGTCTATTAAGGGTCGCGTGTACTGCACAGCAGTCCGCTCTGTTCTACTGTATGGCTGTGAAACATGGCCATTGAAAGTGGAAGATATAAAAAGGCTTCAGGTGTTTGACCACCGTTGCCTTCCTAGTAAGTATAGGACGTATTCCGTGGTGTCACCACACAACGTGAGTAATGCAGAAGTCAGTTGTAGACTTTGAGGGAGAAGAGGTAAGTCAGTTGACGAGGTTATGAACCTTCATCGACTGAGATGGTTGGGACACCTACTACGTATGTCTAGCCACCGTCTACCTCGTCACACAATGTTGGCTGAGGTGGGTCCAGGCTGGAAAAAAGCCCGAGGTCGCCAGACTAAAACATGACACCAATGTATGAAGTCTCTGACTGTTGGTTTAAGCCATGTAGGACGATGCAGACTAGGTGGTTGGGGTCCACGGGACAAGAGGAACCAGTGGTGGTTGGAGACTGACTCTAGGTGATATGGCTCAGAACCGATGTCAGTGGAGCAGATGTATCCCCGCACACATTATCCTCATCTTAACAACGCTATACCGAATCTCACTATTTTGTCACTCCTCTTTCCTTTCTTTCTTCTCGTACTTTATATTTCTTTTGACTGCATTCACTTATCTTCATCCTTCACCTCACTACCTTTCTACTTGATGTAGTGATATGAGGTGTGGTGGGAAGTTGGACCGTTACTCAGTAATGCCTGGTCCTATGTTGATAATGATTATGATATAATTCCTTCCAAGTTAGTCAAAGTTGGAAAAGGTACAAGTAACTTGTAACAGAGGACAGCAAATCCTAATTGGCTAGCATCAGAAGTTGATATCAGTTATGTCCACTTTGTATTCTTGTTTATCTCTGTTACACACGTACTTGTGGGGAGGTATTGTTCTCCTTGTCTGACTTTATGTGGATTGACTGTGTATTCATCACTTCAAACTACTGATTCAAGATTGCTCTGATCCAAGAATCTCATTAAGCACATTGACTGCTTTACTTACCTAAAAAAATCACATCAACCTCATTGTATCACGATAGCTTAAAAAAAAACTGGGCATGGGTACAACTATTCAATTGTTTCTTGTAAATTTAGGCTGATTCTGACGTTCGTCATATATTCGAATACCTATTGATAGTTGAATGTATCATATGATTGTTAAAAATGTCCATTAAAGTTTGAGGACATAGAGTGTTGTAAGGTTTCACAGAATGAAGTAAGTTAGTTGAGTAGAATGTAAGCGTTTGTTGACCAAGGTGGATGGGATGCATTTAACACACACACACACACACACACACACACACACACACACACACACACACAACAAACAAACAACACATGTTCTTCGCTATCATTCTATATGAAGGGGAGTAGGACTCGTTTTTAGGAGAAGGGTAAACATGATTCAACTGTAACATAGCAAGGCTTCATGTCATCTTTGTCTGGTAGTCTTAGCAGTTTAAAGGAACATCAGCTTCTTGAATAAGGTTCGTTAGACAATTACAACAGGATAGTTGAGAAATCTTGATATGAAATGATTCCAATGTTTTTATTACCCATCTTATCACTTTCTACATGGATGAGGTAGGTTGAAGTGTGGCAACTGAGACCATTCACTACACAGTAAGAACAAATATTCATCTGTTTAGAGGTAGCATTCATCATAGACTGACATCAGTTGGGGAATCATTAAAAATCTAGGAAATTGTGAACCACTGGAAACCGATCCAGTGGCTGAATGCTTAACGCGTTCGCCGTGAAACCTGAACGTCCTGAGTTCCATCCGTGGCTGGGTCGTGGGTGCGTACTGCTCAGGAGTCCCATACTAGAACGAAACATGTGTCCAATGCTCCCAGATCTTCAATAGTTCCCTAACTGATATCAGTCTATGATGAATACTACTTCTAAATTAAAAATCCCCATTCATCTATTTATTTGTTACCACCTTTGTAAACAATGATTACAGTCTATAGACTGATCTGTGAAATGCCTCATAGGAATTTACCTCAATCCTCTCATATAATGAAACTCTTCTTTAAAACAAAAAAGTAATTTCTCACTCATATTATTATTTATTGTGATATTCATCCGTACACATTCAGTTCATGGTAAAGCTAATAAAAATGAAATTGATATGATCTGGGAAATTTCTAAACAAATGGAAGGACGTACAATTTGTGCTTTAGCTGATGGAGCTGCATGGCCTGTACAGGTTAGTTGATAAACATTAATTTTACGTATTTTCGATTACTTTTGTATTTTATCAATTGAATATGGATGTGTAACAGTTTAGTAATAAGGGATTCAATGAAAGCCTGACTAACCTGTTAGTCAATCAACTAATTGATGAGATATACCTATTTATTCATGATTAACTACACGACATGTATCAGCGAAAAAGACGACTTCATTCAACAAGGTGTTCATATATAGATGAAGTTGTTTTCCTTCACTCGTCTTTGGTAAAGCAAACCGGATAATGTTGAACAATACGTTTTCGGAGGTCTCGCTTCCAACGTTCAGTTATAGTCAGCTTCATAGAAGCATGCAAATTTGTAGATACACATACGTGGAAGTCTATCCTTCACGCATTGTCAAATCAGATGGCGGCTGGAAGAATATCAGTCTCAGTCTACCAGCATAAAAGCTATTATTGATACACCGAATTGATCGGTCTGTATTAGCATATGGGCTCCTGTATGGATGCCTCGATATTGCCAGAAATCTAATTATGTTAATGATGGATCGTGGCTAGCAGTGAAATCTATGATGCGCATTTCGTCCTATTTGGGACTTGTCAGCTGGATGTACCTGCTTCCCAGTGAGTGATGTTGTTCCCACGGGGATTCGGACTCGGGAGCGATCACTTTAAACGCTAGCGCGTTATCCACTACACCACCAAGCCACGGTCCATCATTAACATAATTAAATTGCTGACAATATCGAGGCATCCGCACAGGAGCCCATATGCTAATAGAGACCGATCAATTCTATCCAATCAACGACGGTATCATATAAAAACCCTCATACTAAAAACTATACCCGTCGCACAAGAAGTGGCTATCGTAGCTCGGTAGAAGAAGAAATATTTCTTTTCAAGCTATACAGTTGTATTTATACTCGGTAGAATGATAGGTAATTGCACTAAAAAGTTTCTTAGTCAATATGCAAACTATTATTATTCAATAGCACGCCTCCATTGCACTCTGTTCTCTTCAGTCTTTTCAACCTGGCACCATGAGAGCACACAAGCTTTCATTTTTTCTCACATACCATCTCCTTCATGTCACCCTCGATGCCCAACTCGTTGTTTCCCCTTTGGATTCCACTCGATGGCCTGGCCTGACGCGTGATGTCCCCAGTCGACCTTCTCAGTGTATGCCCAATCCATTTCCACTTCCTTTCAATGCATATTTGTTGGACGATAGGTTCTTGCTTCGTTGGTTCGTTACCAGACTGGAGTTCATTGTTGCTTATTCTCATTAATTCTGGCCATCTGATCTTCAGTATCGAGTGTGTGCAGGTGGCAGCTGTTTGTGTATGTCTGTAGTTTGTTGGAAATGCTTTTCGTGACATGCCAAGTTTCTGACTATATAGCAGTACTGACTTGACTGAATTGGTGTTGAAAATCCGGATCTTGTTCTTTGTGCTGAATGCAGTAGATCTCCACACTGATTTCAGATTAATGAAGGCCTGTCTTGCTGTCTTTCCAGTTGTGGTTTTGACATCCTCGTCTGTGTCTGTGCCGCCTGTAGTTGAAACGATGCTGCCTGCCTAGGTAGGTGGGTGAAAGAGACTACTTCCTTCTGATTTCTCCCGTTGATGGTGAATGGTGCTTGTTGTTGTTTGGGTATCTTCATCACCTTTGTCTTTTCATATGCAAAATAGGCAACTAACTAATTTCTTTTTTATGTGTTTTGCCCAATTGTCATGTAGATGTTGGTATACGCAACTGCTTTAGATCGCATGTACTTAGTATTTACACAGTATTTACACATCACATTGTATTTCTCCTAGTGTGGTGTTAGTTTTTTTCTGATGATGAGCACTAGAATAAAGATCAGCAAACTTATGGCAACTGAATACGCTATCTATCGCACCACCAAGATATCCTATTGTCAATTAAGGATTGAGTGTACTGTGTTACAGTCGCTCTATTTCACTCTATGGCTGTTATACATGGCCATTATAGATAGAATATATGAGAAGGCTTCAGGTGTTTGACCACCGTTGCCTTCATTGTGTCACCACATGAGTGATGCAGAAGTTAGGTATAGAGTTTCAGGGAGGAGATGTAAGTCAGTTGATGCTGTTGTGAACTTCATTGACTCAGATGGTTGGGACATGTGTTACGTATGCCTAGCTGCTACCGTATATCTCGTCACACAATGTTGACCGATGTAGGTTCAGGCTGGAAAAGGGCTCGGAGCGTCCAGACTAAAATGTGGCACTAACGTATGAATTCGTTGACTGTTGGTTTGAGCCTTGTAGGGCTATGCAGACTAGCCGGTTGCGGTCCATGGGAATAGTTGGAGACTCTAGGCGATGATATGGCGCAGATGCATGCACACATTATCCTCATCTTAACCGCTATACTTAATTTTATCATTTTCTCATTCTTCCCTCCTCTCTTTTACTACCTTCTTCATCTTCCATTTTATTGCCTTGTTATTTGATGCGCCGATATGAGGTGTAGCAACTTAGACCGTAGCGCAATAATGCTTGGTCATATGTTGATCTTGATGATAATGGCTTGCTCAGTTTCCAATCGTTTTTTTTTCTCTTTCGGAGGTTTACAGCAAAACACAATCCTTATCCAAACGTATGTTTAAATTACTTTTCTCTAGATAATCTTCATTCATCTGTCTGTGTATATCTTTTTTTTCTCTTCTTACAGGGTCTTATTCGACATTTTCGTCCAGAGTTGGAGGCAAGATTCGCTAAACACGGTATAGAACTTTATGAACCGCCAAAAGCTGAATCAAGTGTTCCTTGTTAAACATTATTTTCTAGGTATATTTATATGCATACAAGTATGTAGTGTAGTGTGGCGGATTGGATTAGATTGGGATGTCAGCAAACTTTCCTCTTCTTTTCAACCCTACATATGTATGTTTGTGTGTATATTGTGTAAGATAGGCTGGGGGGGGGGGGGGGAGGATTTTTTTCTTTTCACTGAATGACTTTACTGATCAATTAGCTAGCCAACTCCCTACATTGGGTTATTTACAAATATATAAATAAAAATGTATGTTCAGAGAAATGAATAGGCTTTCATTTCACTGTTGATAGACTTTTGTTTTTAAGTGAGAGATTTCAATGTCACGAGTCAGTCAATTGGTTGATATCAGTGTGTGGTACCTGACATTCCTGGATAACTGTTCAAATGTTCGCAATCATCAAGATGAAAAGTAATGAGACAAAAAATGATTACAGCAATGGAAATAATATCATCAAAAGTCGTCGTAGGCTATAGAATAAAATGAAATGTAGCAGTTAGAATGAGGGTATAATCTTTAGATGTATTTGCTCTACTGTCATGTATTCTGGCCCATTCCACAACTAATATCACAAGAACTATACCCCTCACATAATGAATGGCTATTGTGACTCAGTGGCCTAGGGGATAACCCATTGGCGTTTAAAACAATTGATTCTGAGTTTGATTGTTACTGAAAACGATATCGCTCACTGGAAGGTGGAGGGGGGCATCCGGCTGATGAGTCCCCAGTAGGGGGAAACGCGCATCTTGAACTCCACTGATAGTCACTATGCGTCAGTCGTCGACTTTGTCTGTCATAAAGACGTCAGCGCGTCATACACATCTGAAATCAACAGTCGGAAACTTTATGAATTCATGCCGAAATTTAAGTGCTCCGGAAATTCACCTGATTCAATTGACAGTGAGTCATGATTGTTCGTGAATAAGAAGAAGATATGCATCGGCTAAGAAGAAGTATTTCATTCCAACCACTTCATTATCAAGCTGTACAGTTGTATTTATAATCGGTAAAATAATGAAAGATAATTGTTGCTAATGGGATTTATTCAAGTGGGAGAAATAGAAAATGGGTCACTGAATAGGGAACAAAACGAGATAACAAGTGGTGAGATAAGGAACAAGTACTGTCAATGAAGTGAAAGATGGTGATGATGGATGATAACAAAAGAAAAGTATACTGAAGTGAAATAAAATGAAGTTGACAGCAGTAACGAACAAGGAATTATCAAGGGCAAAGTAGAGGAAGTGGTTTCATAAAACGTTTTTGAATGTAAAGTTTTGGTTTTTGTTCATGTATAGCTAATACTTGAGGTCTATGTATAAATAGTGGAAACGTAGACGTTTGGACTAGTTGAATTTAACTTTGTAAATTACTTTAAAGGATGAATGTTGAAGAGGTGAATGACCTAACTCTATTTGGTGTTCATCAATGGAAGAAGTTGTTTTCTTTAGCTCGCCTTTGGTAAAACAAACATTTCATATCTGGTCTGAGCCGTGTACGTCAATGTAAACTTTCCAGTTGGGGTTAGCGTGATAATAGAAATCGGTGGTTTCGGACTATGACTTCAGACTCTAGAGGATATGACACAGAATCAGATACATTTGCCAATTTTGACTGCTTTCTTCCTCATTACTCCACCTTCTCTACTGATACCTTTCCGTTCGATGGACTGGTGTAAAGTGGAGCAACTTGTACAATTACTTAGGGTAATTCCAGGTTGTACGTTTGCATTATCATTTCGTCTGTTTAGTTGTCATATAAAACTCCTCTCTTTCAAACTTGTTGAACATATTTCAGTATATAAAGTTTTAAAAAATTTCCATTTAACAACTGAGCTATATGCTACTGACTTAAGTTTGTAAATATTAGATCTTCTGGTTGAAATTTCAATCTACAACGGTACCGATTTTTAATGAGTCATATTCATTCATGAATGACAGGATTGTTCAATGTTCAACAATACGAACAATGTAACATATTTCAAGTTAATCAGGCTGATTGAATAAGCCGAGTGAATAAATTGGAAGTTATTTACAATTTTATTAATGTTCGATCGAAAAGATAATTTACACAGGGTAAGGATGACAATTGTTTGATGTTTTCCCAGCTTTTTGGTTTGATCTTAAACGTTTCAACATTGGGCTAACAGATATCAACGCCTAGCCTGATAATGATGAATCAGGATTTTAGGGATGGAAAGGTGGGAATGGGTACGTTTGAAACTACTTCAAACTTCACTAGGCATGGCAGTTCCTATTTAGAAGCTTGAACTAGGCATTCCAAATAAGGTTTCCCAGTTACTCAGATTGTAATAGACATGACCTTCGGGGACTTTTAACCACTGGGTCTTTTGTTTCACTCGGTTACTCTTCTGTACAATATACTTCCATGAAGTGAACATTTATTCATAGCAACAATAATGTTATAGGTAAAGTAAGATGTGAAGTGAGAAATTGATTTTTTTTTGTACTCATGCTCAGATTTCGTCAATAATCAGTTCATCAAAACTAATGTAGGCATCTAGTAAAAGGAGAATAAGAAACCGTTTAGTCATCAAAGCATCAACTGCTCTCTGAAGACATTTCACAGCCAGTTATTCTGTAAGTGTTTGTTCTCATTGCATTGCTCAACTTTATCAAGGGGAATTATCACGAGTTATTTGGAAGTATCTAAGTTTTGTAAATGTCGACACTTGTTAGCAAGGCATATCTTCAATCCTGTAGGAACTGTTGTCCTATACTTCATTTGGACCTACTTCGATCAATACAGTGATCATAGGTGTAACCATCAAGCTATTTAAGTAACAGGTCACATCCTAAGGATGTAGAATGGTTACAATATCTGGTCCTAATTACTAACTGGATTCTGTGGATCACCATCCAGTCATTTAAATCAACAGATGATGACATTTTATTTAGGCAAAGAATCGATCAGGAATGTGAAAACGATTTTTAAGTGAAAGATGTAACAGTGCAGAAGACTCAATCATTTAATTCACACAATGAATGTAGGTGAACCTGAGATTCAGCATAAAAATGGTTCACATAGCATGTTTTTTCTTCATAAAGAAAACATTTTCGTAAGTGTTCTCTGGAACACGTAAATCATGTCTCCGTAAAACTGAAGACGTAGTTCGCAGGATAGTGGTAAGATGCTTGAAAATACTAGGATATACTTTTAACTACTAATAAGTAGTCAAGATTTTGTTTAGAAACATTTGTATTATGTATTATTCCAAACTGTATGTTTCATACTGTACGAGATCGTTATTGCATGCGAGTGATGTTCATAATAGCACTACTAAAGGTAATTAATGTTTAAAAGTCAGCTAGTGTTAGGTTAGCTTCCCATCTAGAATGGAGGGTGTACAGAAAATCGAACTTAAGTTGTAGTGGTGATGATTCATTCAACCAATAAAAGAATCTCCTATTCGAGTTAAGGGTCAAAAGAGCTGAAATATAATGAATAGTCCATTTCCATCGAATATGACACATTTTTTTAAAAATTTGTTTTGTTATCTATTCGAGAAACGGCTGGCTGAAAACATTTTAAAACTATGCAAGAGTATATAGCAAATTTACAAGATAACGTTAAATGATTAAAACAAATTAAAAGTAAAGAGTTTGACTTATATATTCAGTGGGAAATTTTGGTAACCGAAGGTTCAAGTAAGCCTCCAGATGAATGTCTGTATTATGATAAGAATATATTTCCAATGAAGAATGAAAACACAGTGTAAAATTAAGGCGGAAAGTGTTAGTCGGATGAAGTCAATCAATAGGAAGCCTTTGATTCAGGTTTCATGCCTTTTAGCACTTGTCAACAAGGTATAATCTGCATCCTCTATGAAACTGATGTCCCATATCATGATGGTAAGTCTCTTAGCTCAGTAGCTATGCTGCAAAATGATCAACTGAACTCTATCAGTACTTGACTGTTAGACAACTATAAAAGTCTTCAACTTGATGAACCGATCAGGTTTCTTTATTTCAGCTAGAATTAAAGTTTTGGCAAAAAAATAACAAAAACTGATTGGTTACTCCAGTAGTTATCACAGTAGCTCTAAATGTCATTGCTTTTTGATATTGTTGTCTGATTCAAACTTACGGCACGCTTCACTATCTGAATATCGTTATGCTACCTACGCTTTACGCATTGCTGAGTAAGTTTCAGTAAAATACCGGTGTATTTAGATAATCAAAACAAGATTCCAATTACATGCATGCTGCGTGTTGACTGATTCGATGAACAAAGACTCAGTAATCAATCCCCCTCTATCTCCCCACCTAATCATATTGTTGAAATTAAGTACAGTGGTTTTATCCACCACCACCACATTGTGTAGTTGTGTATTAATACATAAATTGCAATAGCCGAGTATTTTTCTACATTGTTGATCTTATTGGGGTCTGTTATTCTATATTTAGCTAAATCCCTATGTCCCATTAATCTAACTGAACCCAACAGGCTAGTTTCACCTATGTACTTGACCTCACTCACAGCCATTATATGGAACCTGTTAGATTAGATTATTTCGCCTAATTGGTTCTATCGGATCCTTAAGACAGCCGACAAAGCTTATCTCTAAGTGAGTTTGTAGGTTGAGGATTGTACGTAGTTTATGATATACCTTCCTTCCTTATAAAGTAACACATGGAGGTTGTGAACTCCTTGTTTCTCGTGTTGTCATTACTAGTCGCACTCGTGTGATTGTTATTTTTTCATCTTTTGTGTGTCCATAAGAATTTCTTAATAAACTGAGGAGGATAATTACTAACTATTAGCGCTTATTTTATGTGTTTCAATTCCTTGTTTAGGTTGTTGCATTGACTAGTTAGTTTTCTAGCTCTATCATTTAGATATTTGACTAAACCTGCTATAACTGAGATAACTTGGATGAGATGACTTGAAGTCTAGATACATGTTGGAATGTGTCGCTTCCCTGTAACGGTAGTATCGAAATCATCGTTTATCTTTCGTTTTATCCTGCAATCTAACATAGGTAATTCTCCTTGTTTATTATCAACCTCGTGAAGTCAATTAGATTGTGACTACTATATACTTTATATGCGTGAGGAAAGTGTCGATATGTTTCAATTTTAACACAGTAAATGTGTCGTACACATATCGCCATATCGTCACATATCCTAGGTGTAGAGTTATGGAAAATGTTACTACCAATAAACCAGCTTGGTAATGCAAGAATAAATTAGGAATAATTTTCAAATCACAGAGAGTGAATAAACGAAGTTTTCAATTCGAATCACTATCAATTAGTATCAGTAGTTATTTGAAGTTGGTTTTCGTCGTGAAAGGAATATTGGAAACTTGGGCACTGGACAGTTGTTTCATTCGATTAGTATGGGGCTGCTAAGCAGTGGGCACCCGTGACCCTACCAGGGATCGAACCCAAGACACTTAGGTTCTGTGGTCGGTACGTTACCGTCGAACCACTGGGTCAGTGGGATCCAACAGTCCATATTTTCAACTTCTGTCAGTTCATGACATAGCTTGACCATCACCTAATGTCATCGTCGAGTATTTATCCTCACAACTACCAGATTTGCCCCACTGGTAACTTCAGGAATCACCTCTTGATGTGGTGGCGAAAATTATTTCTAGCTAGTGTTACGACTGTTAGTTTCTTCATGCTTATAACTTCTTTTTGATTGATATACTTGATCAAACGGATCTATTTGTGTTGGGATTATGGCTCCTGGATGGATATACTAAT